ACTAAGATTTAATGCTTCTGAAGGATTTCAGTATTTGGCTACGAAGTCTCATTTCATGGGGAACAGAGTAAGCTTACCTCAAGGCAAGCCTAGCTAGCCTGGCATTTACCAGCAAGATTGGTGTTGGGTAATATGGACTTCCAAAAGTAATATTAAAGATAATTCTATTAACAGAAACACTGCTGAGGTTTCAATAAAACAGGTTTCTTCTACTTTGCATTAATGGCACTGCACAATTCATTTATGTATACTTTCCTAGTCAACAGTTCCAGTACTGATAAAGTGGAGTTCAGCTATGTCATGTTGCCCTTTGTGTGCCTGATACTTTATAATTTACATCAGACACATTGCGCCATACCAAGAGGGCAGGAGAGTTTGGTTACAGGCCCTATTAGATCATGTTTTATTGTGTCTTATCTGTGGCTGCAAACATGCATGGTAAGAATGAATGTCAGAATTCAATGTTATCTATACTTGTTCCAGGGCAAGGACTCAGAAAGCACAGAATCCGAAGCATCACAATGACTGCTAGGGAATTCACAGTTTTCAAAAATAGAAGTCAGCAATGAAAGCATACATAATTTCTCTTTAAAATGCTGTACATCAGCTTCTACCGTGTCAGCACCACTTTCAGCATGGATTTACTTTATAACTCATGAAAAATGTCTTAACTTTCATTTTATAGGGAGGCATGCAAACTCCCCCTGGGTCTCCCACAGTGCTTGCTAACATGGGGGCAGGGGGCCCCAGAAAGTTGGTATTTGTGTGGCATTGTCATGAAGCTCCAGCTATGCACAGGGAGAAAGGCTCTGACAAGGTCCCAGCTGCACAGTGTTGGTCTTTTGATTTCTGTAAAGTTGATCCGGGTTTACTATCATAAAGAATGTATTGTGCTAACATAACAAGGAGCATGGTACTGCCCTTAGGCTTAGGTGTACATTTTGCCTAACCAGGGGAAAAAGATCAACCTGCTTTCTTGGACTGAAGGAGATCTATCAACGTTTGCTGCTCATATCCTCCCCTGGTTATTATACTGACCAAGTGGAAGCAGATATTGGAAGGAAAGCTGCAATATACAAAATACATTAGTGAGTAGAGTTCATCTTTCACTGATTGTATACTTAGCAGGTTGTTTCTTTTATTGCTTTGTTGAATTTAAGCAGAAAGTCACTCAATACAGGTTTTGTTTACGTTTGATGTAGTTTTAGTTTTGTTGTTTTTGTGTGGAAAGGTTAGAACCTTTGTCTGGTTTATTGCTGTCTATATCCTTTAACACAGACAGCAATAAAACAGGCTCAACAGAAGTTCTCTGCTCCCTATGGTATCCAAAGCAAACAATAAACGTTTTGGGCGGAGTTGCACTTTAGTTTATAAACATGTCATCTTGCTGTATTCATGTTTGTGAGCATATGTAAGTCAGTGTACTAGTTAGGATTAGACTCTCTGACACTTCCATATAACCATCATTCTACAAATACACAGTGCTGTCTCAGACCTTACCTGCAGGCTATGTTTCAATGCATTTCTACCTACATAAATTCTGCTTTTGCTGCTGTTTTGTTATGACAGCCATGTTACAAAGGACACAAGGCTGTCATATTAAAGAGAGATGCATGTTACAAGAGCATGTTATGTTAGGATCTGCAGCCGTATTACATGTGACCGTTAGAGAGTGTTTTCTAGTTACATGAAACTGCTAAAGATTGCATCCAAATTATAACAAAATGCTGCCATGCCACAAGAATTTAGAAGACTGATGTGATGTTAGAATTGAATGCAGGCTTTCTTCCAAGCTAACCTGTCATAAGGGAAACAAGGAGGTTGCCATTGCTGAGGACGTTTGACTTTCCTTTCCTTGTCTGCATACTTTTTCTAGGTCAGTGACTCAGAAAAGTGCTGAACCAGAAGGTCAGAATAACAGCCAGGCAACTAGCACTTCCAGATGGAGGCCAGCAGTAGCAGCTCCTCGTATTTCTCTTCGGCAGGTGTACTAGAAACCAAAGCAGACTCTGGTTCTAACTGGCCTGCAGAGGTACTATACTGTTATGGTACCCTTGGTTGGATCCACAAGGTTCTGACTTTACATTGCTTGGAACCTGCACATATTTAAGGGTTGTAACTCTCACATCATTGGCTGAGTCAGGAGTGCTTCATGTATGACAGTTATGAGTGAAGACTGAATCAGGAGTGCTTCATGTATGACAGTTAGGAGCAGGGGCGGACTGACAACTCATGGGGCCCCCGGGCAATAGTGGATCATGGGGCCCCTGTGTCCTTGCCCAAACTCAAAAAAGCCTATGAAAAAGGTACCAGGGGCATCTCATGGGGCCCCTTACTGACCCCGGGCCCTCGGGCAGTGCCAGAGTTTCCAAATGGTCAGTCCGCCCCTGGTTAGGAGTGAAGACTGAATCAGGAGTACTTCATGTATGACAGTTAGGAGTGAAGACTGAATCAGGAGTGCTTCATGTATGACAGTTAGGAGTGAAGACTGAATCAGGAGTGCTTCATATATGTGAAGATGAATCAGGAGTGCTTCATGTATGACAGTTAAGAGGAAGGACTTAATCAGGAGTGCTTCATATATGACAGGAGTGAAGACTGAATCAGGAGTACTTCATGTATGACAGGAGTGAAGACTGAATCAGAAATCTTCATATATGACAGTTAAAAGGAAAGACTGAATCAGGAGTGCTTCATGTATGACAGTTACGAGGAAAGACTAAATCAGGAGTACTTCATGTATGACAGTTACGAGGAAAGACTGAATCAGGAGTGATTCATGTATGACAGGAGGAAGACTCAATCAGGAGTGCTTCATGTATGACAGTTAGGAGTGAAGACTGAATCAGGAGTGCTTCATGTATGACAGTTAGGAGTGAAGCCTGTATCAGAAATCTTCATGTATGACAGTTAAGAGGAAAACACTGAATTCGGAGTGCCTCATCTATGATAGGAGTGAAAGACTGAATCACGGAGTGACCTCATGTATGACAGGAGGAAGACTGAATCGGAGTACCTCATGTATGACAGTTAGGCAGTGAAGACTGAATCCGGAGTACCTCATCTATGACAGTTGGGAGTGAAGACTGAATCGGAGTACCTCATCTATGACAGTTAAGGGAATGAAGACTGAATCCGGAGTACCTCATCTAAGACTGTTCGGAGTGAAGACTGAATCCGGAGTACCTCATATATGACAGTTGGGAGTGAAGACTGAATCCGGAGTACCTCATCTATGACAGTTGGGAGTGAAGACTGAATCCGGAGTACCTCATCTTGACAGTTGGGAGTGAAGACTGAATCCGGAGTACCTCATCTAAGACTGTTCGGAGTGAAGACTGAATCCGGAGTACCTCATATATGACAGTTGGGAGTGAAGACTGAATCCGGAGTACCTCATGTATGACAGTTGGGAGTGAAACTGAATCCGGAGTACCTCATGTATGACAGTTGGGAGTGAAAACTGAATCAGGAGTGTTTCATGTATGATAGTTAAGAGGAGAGATTGATTCAGGAGTACTTCATGTATGACGGGGTGAAGACTGAATCAGGAGTACTTTATATATGGCAGTTAGTGAAGACTGAGGCAGGAGCACTAAAAGCGATATTAAACCCAAAACATAATATAGTGCAGATTACCAATCCTTAGATGTGGTGGCTGCATCAGTTTTTTTTTTTAGGCTTTTTCCCTCTGTTTTCACCTGCTGATCTGGCCAGCAACACACATCCTGCCTTAAGAGTGCCCCATTCTGGCTGAAGGAGCACAAGAGGCACCTTTAGACAGCAGCATTGTCAGTCTTGGGAAATGGGGGGGGGGGTGTTAGATGTACTTGCGAATTTAAATACACTAGCACATTGAAGCCAAACCCCAGCTGACACTTCTTCCAAGCAGTCACAGCAACCCGCTTTTCATCTTTTGCTATGAAGCAGATTGCATGTGCAGTGTGATTTGGAATGGTGTGTGAAAGCACAGAACATGTCTCCTGCACTGGTTCTAGTGTGAATGGGCCCTACATGAGAATAGCACTCAATCCAGTGTTCAGTCACAGTCTGCCATAGACTTTGCCTAGTTGTGACCAGTGGGGCTGGGTGCTTCTCCTGTCCCTCGCTGGTGCACTAACATGGCTGAGTGTTTGCAGATAGACCCCCACATGTAAGGGCCACAAGTGTGTCTCCATGCATTTACATGTGGTCTATGGTGTGCACACAATGAAATGCAGGTAATCACACCGTGTGCACACCATCTGCAGTCATCCCAGCCATTTCTAGATGTGAGGAAATGGCCTCTATGCAGGTGAATGAGGCTGAAGAGAACAAGTTGGTAGAAGTACATGAGGCGTCCTATTATTCTCCACAACAGCCTGTTGGAAAGTTCTGGAAGGGCTTTAGGGAGGCGATTGTGCAGCAGAGCCAGGCCTGGTGATAACAGGAGTAGTGGGGTGTACCTAGACTGGGGAGCCCATGTTGTAGGGGCCCATTTGTGGCTGACACCCCGAATATGAATGGGGCTGGGACTGGCTCTTTCCTCCATGACTTGTTTTTCTGTGGAGTCAGACAACAGCCCCCTTCTTTGTCACAGATGTATTGCTCCCAATCCTGCGCTGTGACTGCTTGGCCGCGGCGTGGAAGGAGTTAACCCCGATAGAGGACTGTTTGCAGAGCCTGGTGTTTTTCAGAGCATCTTGTTTTTCACAGACTGGAGTTACACCCCCATTACATCAGGGTGACTGCTAACCCCGCCCACCCCCGCATCAGGCGCGGATTGGCCGCGCCGGGTACCCGAGCTGTGGCCCCATTGGTTAAGCCTCCCAGGTAGGCGTGTAGGAGGTGCAGAGCCTGCCTGGCCAGGACTTGTTTATGAAGCTGAGTGCGGGGCATTGGCTGGCTGTGTGCTGAGAGTGCGGGCACTGAGGAGATCACAGTCCCGGCTACAAAGCAGAACAATAGTCCGTCCTCCATTGTCCTTCTGGAATAAAGACTAGACCCGCTACAGTGGAAGGATGAGGTTGTCACCAGCAACAGTGCCAGGCCCGGAGATCATGTGCAGCCGCTGCAGCAGAGTGGCCAGCAACAAGGCACAGGTGAGCATTGCCAGTGCTTGGATGTCCATTCATTGCTGTGTGCCCTGCCGATCTGCCAGGCATCGGCCCTTGTGTGCCCTCATTGTATTATGGGGGTGTCTGCTGAATGATGCAATGGTAGCCTTTGTCATGTGCGATCTCCACTGCCTGTGTATGATCACATCGCATCATAGGACAGGGCTTGTTATTCATAGGGCTTCCACAAGTGGATTGTCCCTTTAATCACATCTCATCACATGACCTGCTTACTGTGCTACTGGGGGAGATAGAACCCCCCCCCCTCCCAATGGGCACAACATGTATGGACAAGTCTGGGCTGCCAGGAATTGCTGGATCATATAGATGTGTATACAGGGGAAGTGTCATAGTGCATTTATATCACATATACAGTGGCAGCCCTCCTTTTATGTTTTTATCGTGTCCATACATTTGTATCAGCTTTATAGTGTCAATCCTCTTTTTATATGTTTTTATGGTGTACATACATTTATATCAGCTTTATAGTGTCAATCCTCTTTTTATATGTTTTTTATGGTGTACAGCATTTAGATTGGCTTTATGGTGTCAATCCTCCTTTTTTGTTTTTTTTTATAGTGTCCATGCATATATATTGGTTTTATAGTGTCAATCCTCCTTTTTATATGTTTTTATAGTGTCCATGCATCTGTATCAGATTTATAGTGTCAATCCTCCTTTTTATATGTTTTTTTTAGTGTAGATGCATCTTTATCGTTTTTTTTTAGTGTCAGTCCTCCTTTATATGTTTTTATAGTGTCCATGTATCTGTATCAGTTTTATAGTGTCAGTCCTCCTTTATATGTTTCTATAGTGTCAGTCCTCCTTTATATGTTTCTATAGTATCAGTCCTCCTTTATATGTTTCTATATGTTTCTTTATATGTTTCTATGCATCTGTATTGGGATTTATAGTGTCAGTCCTCCTTTATATGTTTTTATAGTGTCCATGCATCTGTATCAGTTTTATAGTGTCAGTCCTCCTTTATGTTTTTATAGTGTAGATGCATCTGTATCGGTTTTATAGTGTCAGTCTTCCTTTATATGTTTTTATAGTGTCCATGCATTTGTATCGGTTTTATAGCGTCAGGCCTCCTTTATATCTTTTTATACTGTCCATGCATCTGTATTGGGATTTATAGTGTCAGTCCTCCTTTTGTGCCAATGGAATTTTATCTTTTTTTTATAGTCCCATTGCATTTTAGCCCTTCAATGTACAACTGCTTTGCCCGTCTTTCTGCCAGAAAACTTGTAAAATCTACTTTAGTCATTGCAGGAAAGTAGTTCAGGCAATGATTTGTACAAATCCATTGATCTGAATGTCATGGTGTCCATAATAAATTGGCCCAGAGAAGGATCCAACAAGAGCTTGCCCATGTGCTCCCCTACTTTGGATTGGGGTGTATAGTCCCAGTGATGCGTTGCTCTGCAGTGGTCATCATAGCTACCTGTTGGGGAACAAAGGCTGCTCCTTCCAGCATCTGCAGAGGCTTTGTCTTTGTGCTGAGTGTACCTGTGTTCAGCACTTTCCTCACACTAAGGCTGACAATACTTTATACAATTTGCTTGTACAATTTTCCTTTTAGATTTATCAAAACCATATATTATGAGATCAAACCTAAATACTTTCAATTCATATGCAAATAGGAAGGTCCTTGTACTACATAGTTGAGGGTAAATCTAAAGGAAATTGCATAAGAACATTGTATAATGTATGACCAGTCTAAATGACTAAGTGCTTCTCACATCATCACTGTGCCTTCATTGTCTACCTGTTCTGTATCAGTGATTGACCGTTCTTTGTACACAGCAGTGATTTATATATGGATCCTCTGCTGGCGATGCCTCATTGAGTAGAACGTTCACACTCGGTAATGTGAAACCATGAATGGCAGTCTGAAATCATGTTTAAATATCCTATATACATGTTCTTAGAATGTAATGATTGGCCAGTCTGTAATATTGATCTGTTCCAGTAAAGACTCATTTCTGATTAGTGACTTGCAAAGATAAATGGATGTGATTAGTATTCCAAGTACATGTCTGGGCGATGAGCAGGGAAAACATTTGTTCTTTGTAGAAGTCAGCCTATTCAGTACAGAGCTGGGCAGATTGAGGGATCTTAATGTCTGGTTCTGCAAGGAATCTTCTGTTGCTGCAATCTTTCCTGGGTTGGAGTGTTGGTTATGGCATGCTTGGTGAGCATGAAGAATGTTACCCCTTCCAAGTACTGGAGCGGAGGTCTGCTGCAAATACACATCTAGCTGGAGGAAGGCTGCTGCACCGAAAATGTTTGCTAGCTCAGGGAGACGTTCATTGTGTGCAAGTACCACTTAAATATTCATTTGATGGTACTCACCTTAATGAAAAGAAAAAACAACTTTTTTGTTTTTTCCATTTAGATTTTTTCAAAAGGGGGAGACCTTGATCATTTAGGAGGAACCAGAGGGAACATTGTGTATTAATTACAGGGAGTGTCCATTAGCTTGTATTTATTACCAATCTTACAATTGAACATTTTAGTGCTTCTTGTGTCCTTGGTTGGAAACTCCCGATGTCATCATAAGAAAAAGTGCAACATGCCAGGAAAATAAAGTGAAAGTAGCAGACGAAGCATTTTCCAAGTGTATAAATTCCATACCCAAGTGCATTGGAATTCCAAGTCATAGGGAAAATTGAAATTTTTTTTTTTTAATGTGTAAGATTAGTGATATGTATGTATTTTACATTGATGTGAACATGGTGACTTTTTTTTTTTTAGGAAATGGGAGTTCGAATCCCTCGCCCCTTAGGACAAGGTCCCAGCAGATTCATTCCTGAAGAAGAGGTTGGTGTCATTTTGTGTTTTCTCACATGATGGTCCTTATTCCTTAACTGGCAGCATGTTTTTTTTTGCCTAGTCTGTACAGCTTTTGGTATCTTTTAATCATAGTGGTGTTGAAGAGATACATTGTTAATGACTTGCATGCTTTCATCATCATATGTCCGGGACAGTTTAGTTTGGTTAGCAGACTTTCTTTTCTAGGCAGGTTAGATCCCACTAGTACAGACATCGTGTAGAATCTGTCATAACCCAGCACCAGTACAGTCTGCTTAGAATGTCTTGGATGTAGGTCAGCACCATTCTCATAGCTGTCTCCTTACATATTTATTTATTTATTTATTTATTTCAGGTACTTATATAGCGCCATCAATTTACACAGCGCTTTACATACATATATTGTACATTCACATCAGTCCCTAACCCTCAAGGGGCGTACAATCTAAGGTCCCTAACTCACATTCATACATACACATACTAGGGCAATTTAGACAGGAGCCAATTAACCTACTAGCTTGTCTTTGGAGTGTGGGAGGAAATCGGAGTACCCAGAGGAAACCCACGCAGTCACAGGGAGAACATGCAAACTCCAGGCAGGTGGTGCCGTGGCTGGGATTCGAACCAATGACCCTAGTACTGCCAGGCGGAAGTGCTAACCATTTAGCCACTGTGCTGCCCATACATATAGTTATAATTAAGTCATGTTTTTTCTCTTCAAGGTACACGCTTATTCCCTTTTAGCAACTTCAAAAAGACATTTATTTTGGGAAGGTTGGGCAGGTGAAAAACAGCTAAATTCATACACCATCAATATTTTTTAATTGTTTTACCCACCAATGGGTTTGTAGTTTTGAAACCGTTTTGTGATTCTGAATCCACTGCCATTGGCAGAGCCAGTCTCTGCACTTACTGTAGCCGTCATGCAAACTGTACTGTTGTTTAGCAACGGTCTGGTCTGAGTCCTACCTCAGCCGGTAATTTGGACATTTAAGTAGCTAAAGCACAATGGTGAGGTCATCACTCTGACTCTCCTCTTATTAGTTTTATATGGTCAGTAGTGTGCAATGAAATAGAACCTGTTTGGCTCCAAGTGCTGATCCTCCCTATCCGTCTGTGAGTGCTGATGGGTATTTAGGAAGTTGATGTCAAGATAGATTCAGGTTCTATTTCCAGCTCTATGTAAAAATACATGGAGTGGTTTTCTAAAATTCATTAGGGAAGTAGGTGTCATTTTTATAATGTGACTTGTATTTTGCTTTAAAGAGGATCTATCCTGCTGTATAGATATTACATTTTCACAGTTCTAGAACATGCCTACATCTATTACATGGCAGTCTACCCTCTACTGATATTTCAGTGTTTGATAGATGCTGGAGAGTTACATTTTCATCATCCATTTCTTCTCGTGATGACTTCAGTTGTGAGATCTCTGCACTTGTATGCCTACCTAATGCGGCAGTTATGAGGTGGCCCACCACCTCATCCCCCCCCCCCCCCGTTAAGATTTAGACTTTGCATTATGGATAATGCAGCTCAGTGAGGACGTCAGTTTTATAGCAGGGCAAGTGTCATTCCCTGGTAAGAAAAGCAGTGCCCAGGCAATGTAACCAGCATGCTTACAGCTCTGCTCTTTTAGAATTCATCTATAACTGTAGTATCACTTCTGAGCGGACTTGCTCTTTAACGCCTAGAGGCCGAGCGCACACAAATATGCGGCCTCTGGGCCCTGACGCCAAGCGGCCACATATTTGCATGCCATTAGAAAATCTATATGTGCTGAGGGCGCTCGCCCTGTGCGCTCCCAGCACATACGTCTGTGACTCACAGAAAGGTCCCGATCTCCCCTTGCGATCGGGACATTTTCCGGTCATGTGACCGCCATGACGGCAAATCACGGCGGTCACATGACCCTAAAACCCCACCCGCCTCCTGGCTTCTGAAACTCTTAAAGGGCCGGAGGCACCTGCGCAAAGGGGTTAATTATCATTATAGTGTAACATAACCTGTAATGTCTACATTTCGCTTGCTGCTGACATTGTAGTATATTGGGAGGAACTAGATTTTTAGTTTTGTTGTTTTATGTGTGAAATGTGAGTTAAAGTGCCAAGGTGAATAGTCATTATCTTTTAATACATCCACAGATTCTACAAGTGGGGAATGAAGATGCAAACATGCATTCAGTGTTTGCTGATGTGTTTGCCGACATGGGCCGCCTGGATAACATAACCCTTGTGATGGTGTTCCACCCCCAGTATTTAGAGAGTTTCCTGAAAACACAACATTACTTGTTACAGATGGACGGTCCCTTGCCTGCATGTTATCAGCACTACATCGGTATAATGGTGAGTGTAGTTCTCTTATGTTTACTTGTCTGAGAGTGACCATGGATGGAAGGAATTGATGCCCCCAATACTGAACAATATTGGACAATAATAAGCCCCTTTTTGGAACATTTCTGTTCAAATGAGCCCAGAGTACTGCATGTTCACTGCTGGTCCTCAGACTGTTGGAGGACAGACAAGTATCCCACCACCTGTTTTATAAGAGATCTCTTCTGTCTATAGAAGATGGAATGTTTTCACATGCAGAAATGGTGTTGAATGCAGTTTTTATAAGCATAACTTTTCATCCAAGCCATCAAGAGGCTTACAGTTCATTTCATGTCAAATGTTCTTGTTTCAGGCAGCGGCCAGGCATCAGTGCACCTACCTGGTTAACCTGCACGTCAATGACTTTATCCATAGTGGAGGGGATCAGAAGTGGTTAAATGGCCTTGACAATGCTCCACAAAAGCTACGTAACCTTGGAGAACTAAATAAGCTACTGGCACACAGACCTTGGCTGATCACAAAAGAACACATTGAGGTAAGGGGTGGCTGAATAGTGACATTAGCTTTGTGCAATGTGAGATAAAACAGTTTGATAGGCCAACTTCTTATAATTTGTATTTCCAGCAACTGCTGAAAACAGGAGAACACAGCTGGTCCCTGGCAGAGCTGATCCATGCTGTAGTCCTTCTTGCACACTATCACTCCTTGGCTTCTTTTACATTTGGTTGTGGAATAAGTCCAGAAATTCACAATGATGGAGGTCACACATTCCGTCCCCCTTCCGTCAGTAACTACTGCATCTGTGACATAACAAATGGCAATCATGGAGGGAATGAGAGCCACCAGACAACAGGAAGCGTGGTAAGTTAGCACATTTACCAAGCTTTGCAATATAGGTCCTTTCAGAGGCATCAGATCTCTAAAATTTTGTTTTTTTGGGGGAGATCTGGTATCTTGAAAGCCTAGTGTCCTCGTGTGATTGGCACAATTGAGAAATTCCAAGAAATAATTCAATTAAAAAAAAAAAAAAGGGTTTTATACAGCTGGTGGTTAATTTTTCAAATGAACTGTCATGAGATTGATCTAGATTTCGGTAACAGTAGCAAATATTTGGACATGACGTCTGATGGTTTCTGTTTCTCTATGACCTGTGCAGGGCTTAGATTCTTCTTGTGAAGTTGAAGTTTTGATGGAGAAGATGAAGCAGCTTCAAGAATGTAGAGATGAAGAGGAGGCAAGCCAAGAAGAAATGGCCACACGCTTCGAGCGAGAGAAGACAGAAAGCATGCTGGCTTTTGCTATAGGTACATTTAACTTAAATCTCCACTTGCTATGGTGTTGTATATTTTGTTGTAAATCCATGAACCTTATTGGTAGAAACTTGGCATGAAATGTAGCACAAAAATTGCTAAAAGATTTAAAGAATGTGTTGATTAATAAATTGTTTCTTGGAAAAGCTATCAAATATTAGTAAGATATTGATTAAAAAGCAATACTGGTAGGGGACTGAAGTATAGTATAGGTTATTACCCTCTCTCATACTAAAGTAACAGTAATGCAGCCCACTGTAGCTCTGGGATTGTGACAGCAGAAACAAGCCAGGATTTATCACAATGGATAGATAGGACTTTGTAACGAAGTGCAAAGATGCCCCTAGCCCCTGTATTGCTCTGCTTTCTAGCATGTTATTTTTAGGCTTTCTTAGTGGACATAATAAATTGATATATATTGATGATATGATGTTGTTTCCTTCTAAAGACGAGGATCCTCCGCCAGCACGAGAAGTCTCTAGACATTTTGAAGACACAAGCTATGGCTACAAGGACTTTTCCCGCCGTGGAATGCATGTTCCCACCTTTCGAGTGCAGGTAGAGGATCATTTTTTTTTTTTTTTTGCACAGAAAGAAATTGCTCAATTCACTATTTAAATGTAGAGTACTCACACATAAATCATAGTTCAAATGAATACCAGATCATTTTTAAACTGTTATATAAAAGTTTACAATGATTCTGCTGCACATACACTGCTGTTTCTGCCCACTGGTCTGGTCTGGTATGCCTGAGCAAACAGCATTTTGTATTATGGAAACTGAACACAGCAGAGAAGTAAAAACACTTTAAAACCTTTGAGCATATTCTGCTTCTTTAACAATGATTTTTTAAAAAAGAAAGTTTTCATGAGCCATCACATCTAAACTCTTTCTATGTATTTCCTGTATGGTATGGGATAACGAAAGTCTGGCTGCTTTGTGCAGCAGGGGTATACAAGACACTAGTTTTCCTGAGTAATTCTATTGTTTGGAAGCTGTACTGGTGTGCAGTAGTGACTGATATCAGAAAAGTCCTCCACCCAATGATAGACTGTTCATCTGTGATGTTTAGAAGTGATATCCTTAGGCATTAATTGCTATTACCTCTGCTGCACTTACATACCAAAGCAATTAAACTAATTTTAAAAATAAGAGAGACTTGCACATTTCTATTCACAGTATGTTACTAAAGAAGCCATAATAAAGCATTTTCTTTACTGCAAAACGTGTTTTAAACCCTATTTCAATGATTGTGTTGTAGGATTTCAGCTGGGAAGACCATGGTTACTCCTTAGTGAATCGTCTTTATCCAGATGTTGGGCAGCTACTTGATGAGAAATTTCACATTGCATATAATCTCACATATAACACCATGGCCATGCACAACGATGTAGATACCTCAACGCTAAGACGGGCCATATGGAATTATGTACATTGTATGTTTGGAATAAGGTGAGGTCCTTACTGGTACTATTTTGATTTTGCACTTTAGTTCATGGAGTAGTAGTCCTCCCTTTATGAAGTAATACCTATCTTGGACAGGGAGATGTATTGTCAAGTCCTAGTGCATAGTGTAAAGGTACAATGTATGCTTTTAATGTACTGTTCAGAATAAACTGATCAAAGACAGTCACAACTTTGGTGTGGTTTGGCCCGAGCCTAGCAAGCCTTGGACTTACATAAAAGAAGTTAATTTACTAAAGGACATGAGACACTTTACTCAGTAAATTGTAGCTGTGTTTACTTTGAATATCCAATCGTGCTGACAAAATAAAAAGGACTTTGCTTTCCTTGTGATTTGACAATTGACTTGAATCTTCACTGCATTTCTTCAGTGTGTCAAAACTATAGCAATACAATGTTGTTTGTTTACACCTTTTTGTTTTTATTTTGCTGCAGGTATGATGATTATGACTATGGAGAAATAAACCAATTATTGGACCGAAGCTTTAAAGTTTACATTAAAAATGTGGTGTGTAGTCCAGAAAAGACAACAAAACGAATGTATGATAGCTTCTGGAGGCAGTTCAGGCATTCTGAGAAGGTGAGTGCAATTAAAATACATTTTCAGTGGTTACATACGGAATCTTTCTAGTGGAGACACAGCAGTTCAAGGAAGTAAATGTGTGGGGATCGTCACATACTAAGTTTACAAACTTCAAGGTTTCTCAGATTATTTTGAGAAGGCTAGAAATATTTGAAATAAAAAGTGTAAATTAATATATGATTTTATATTTTGACCATAGATACACTTCACCTAAATAGTCATTTAGCTACTGCCAGATCCAGAACAGGCAAACTGATTTGTCAGGGTGTTCTGTGGTGTTTAAAATATGTAACCACTAGGTTCTATATGCACTTATTTTACAGAAATGTAATGTGGATTGGGAGTCTCTGCCTAAAATGCTAAAACACCGCTCTACTACACATACTCAGATTCTTGTGTCATATAAATATTTCTGTCAGGATCCTAACCAAATGCATTCCAGCATGGGACCTGTTGTACATGATTCTCTGAGCAGTTCAGACTTGTACATATGTCCCATTCTAATAGTGCATCCTCTCTGAAATCCAACTCAGGGATAGTAGTAGTAGATGGAAACCAACATATGGGATACAAAAGTATTTCTGCAGCAAGTAAACCTATGTAGTAAAGGAAATGTATACTTATTCTGGGTTGGTGACCATGGAAGCCAGAACCAGGCAGAATTTTTGGGAAGGTCAGCAATGGAAACCTATATCAGTATAGGGTGTTTTTTTTTTTTTTTGGATGATTTTCTTCAATTAACCAGTAAATGTCTTTGTGATGATATTTGCACATTGTTCTCATTTGCTTTATTTTTGTGCTGCTTGCAACTTCTGCACAGAAACTGCACGAATGTGAATTTTGAGCTGAAAACTGAATCTTATTTTCTTGCACCACAGGTCCATGTTAATTTGCTTCTTATGGAAGCGAGGATGCAAGCTGAACTACTGTATGCTCTACGAGCAATTACCTGGTATATGACCTGACTGGTTTATCTAAAGCGATTGCCCAAAACGAATGTTCGAAGGGGAAATCTGCTTTCTGCACTGCCGACTTCCCATGCCTTTCTGGTAGCTACCTTTTCTCAGAAGTCCATTGTGCCATAATTGCCATCATATCAGCTGTTTGGTTTGTGCCGCTGATTTCTCACATTGAACTGACATTTGAATGTTCTACAAGAGATGATGCCTTGCTATCCTGCTTCGAACACCTGCAAGTCTGGTCTTTGCCATCCAGTGATGTTGCGTGTCTTTGCAGTGATGGACACTTACGAAGTATTGAAGACAAGGGACTGGGGAAACATGCACTATGATTTCCCATTGGGTCAATAGTGGTGCTGCTGATGTGTTAAGACGTGGGCCTCCCAATTAAGCTATATAAATAAATGTACATGAACACTGCTACAACCTGAGCCTTGTTATATAACTACACACAAAAAGTGTGCATTCCCATACATTTGTGCATGTTTTCTGGTTGGTCATCTACAGCAATTAACAAATCACCCAACATATGTTGCTGATTTCAGCTATTGGCTTTATATAGTGCTGGAAAAAAAAAAGCTGTGATTAAGGAGTATATATGATATGATCTATGTTCAAGAAAATGGTCTTCCTGAAAATCTATGTATAGATCCTTTCTTTTTTTTTTTCCAGTTTTCAGAAGGTATGTTGCCTTTCTATGACAACAGGGAAAGTGAAATACCTCTTTGGTTGTGGGGTGCACACTTAGTTGTATCACACTGCTGTCTGTATAGCAGTGCTTAGGGTGGAGGGATGTAGGTAGCCTGTGTGACTTAGCCATTCATAAAGTCATTTGCAGCTGCTGAAATATCGCCCGTGGTTTACAGTTTCAAACTTGATCAAGATGTGAATGTTAAGTTTTGAAAAAAAAAAAGTTGGTTATTGGAAAACTAATGTATGGAAGGGTTTGTATTATGAATGTTTAAACAGGTAAATCTTTTTTTTGAAGCTTTTTCAGTATTAATGACTTTTTTTTTTTAAATAAAGAACATACATGTTGATTGTGTGTTTATTCTTATTTGGCTGTTTTCTCTTTCATTTGAGTTAACATAAGTGTCATGCTAGATATCAAATGCTATAAGGAAGGAAATTGTGAAGGAGCCTGCACAAAGCAAGCTCAGTGTCCATATGGTGTTACTGGTGCCACATTCTTTTAATAGGACACTGAAAAACCAAGAAGACCCTACCAACTGAAACTACTGGGACATTTAAGGTACCACATCAAATTGTATAAAAGATATGTTTATTGTAGGAAACTTAAAAAAAAAAAATCTTGCAATAAAAATGTAGCATTTTAACAGCATAGGTGTTATATGAAACTGAAGTAAGTATAATTCATATTTTGCAAATAGGTATAAATCCAAGTGGTCATGTGCATGCAGATATCTCTGTGTTTCGCAGGGATCATGCTCACATTCTACACTACAGGGTTCTGTCATGAATGCATAACCACAAAACAATCTATGCCAGAGGATCAGAGCCGCAGCCACTATATGGTGTGAGAGCCACGCTGTTCTGGAGAGTATCGGAATGGGCTAAGAACATCTATGCCCTGGAGGGGGATACTACATGGAGTCAAGGTGCATGCTTTCAGCCTTTTTTTTTTCCCCCCACTGACCACCTTTTTAATTCAGTGAAGAGGCTTATACCATCTGCTTCTCTTTAAACTTGCACATCATTTAGTGGTGTCGTGGTTCCTCCACCATATAGTGGCTGCGGCTCTTTTCCTCTGGGCCAGATTGTTTTGTGGTTATGCATTCATGACAGAACCCTATAGTAGTTCTACCTTAAGAAGCGGGCAGTGTCCCTGCGGAACGCGTTGGATATATCTGCATGGATATGACCACTTGGGTTTGTACTGATTTGCAAAATATGAATTATACTTAACTACAGTTTTATGTAATACCTATGCTGTTGAAATGCTAAATTTTTAGTACAAAAAATTTTTTTTGAAACTTGTACATGTAATATTTAATTTGGTGTGGTATAGTTTGAGTTGGTAGGGTTTTCCATGCTCTATAATGGTGGTCCATAATTGTTTGGAATGTGGTGGCAGAGAAGAAAAATATTTGAATAGGAATTTAACATCACTAGTGTAGTCTAAAATAAGGTATGGGTAAAGTTATCAAATCCATACAATAGAATTTTTGAAGACCTACTTACCCACAACTGTACTACAGAAAAAAAAAGGATGCCTTGCAACAGGTTCACTGTTATCAACTGGATTCTTCAGAGCAGGGCACAAAGAAGGAACTACAATGTCATCATTAAGGTTGAAGGCTGAGGGAGTATCTTGGTAGAAAAGAGGGTCTTGGAAATAAAACCACTTTTTATCCTTGTGAAGAATCAGGAAAGGATTTTTATGAGAGAGCTGCTAACTTAGAAACAGGCCTAGCAGGTGTGATAGTCACCAAGAAGGCCACTTTGCAGGAGGTCACCCAAGGGGTGTTCCCTCTTGGGAACAAAGGGTGGTTTCTGCAGAACAGAGAGAACCAAACTGAGATCCCAAGCAAGCACAGGATGTTGTAATAGAGGTTGGATCCGTAAGATACCTTCAGTAAAGGTTCTAACAAGGGAAAGTGAAGCTAGAGGCTTCTAAAATAGGATAGATAAGGGCAAATTGGTCCCTTGAGAGTACTTAAAGCCAAACTCCTGACTGTAGGAAGATCAGAAGGAGAGGTACAGAGCAATTTTTGGGGTTGAAAAGCCTGTGTTCACACCAGGCGCAGTGTAATTTCCAGATACAGGAGTTGTGATGTAGCTTGATGGGAATGACAGAGTTAGAGATACCCCTCTGTCCTTCAAGACTTGGGTTTCAACAGCCATGCCATTAAAGTCAGTTTTTTTTGGAAGTGGGATGGAACGGGGGTTTGAGACAGCGGATCTGGCCTGTTTGGAAGGCAAGGGGTTGCCTCCCAGAAGTTTAAGTACAGTCATGGTCAAACATATTGGCACTACTTCACCCAGAAAATGATTGCAATACAAATGTTTAGGCATTCTCATGTTTATTTCTTTTTTACACAAAAAAGTGGAAAAACAAAAAGCCAAATCGGACACATGCCACACAAAACCCCCAAAAATGGATTGGACAAAATCCAGTAATTTGTAATTAAAACTCCCTTGTATCAATTAACAGATTTATGCAGCAAGGATCACATGGAAGGGTGAAGCATGTCAAAAAACAAAGATATATTGGTGAGGGGTGCACTGGACACCTTAGCTGCCATTGTGCTATATATGCTAGGTGTCCAGTGCTCCCCTGTGCCATTACGGTGGGGTGGGCTCCCTCCAGGCTTACCTGGCCCCAGTCTATCCATGAGGAATTTTTTTTTTTAATCTAGGATCAAGCATAGGCAGGCAAGTTTTTTTTTTTTTTTTTTTTTTTTTTTTTTCCTGGAAGAAAAACCTTTGCCTAGACCAGGGGTGGGCAAACTTTTTGACTTGAGGGCCGCAATGGGTTCATATATTGGACCCGGGGCCGGACCAAGAGTAGATGAGTGATGTGTATGTGTCATCCATAGTAAGTATAGTAATATTCCCCCATAGTAAGCATAGTAATTCATCCCCCATATAGTAATTCATCAGCCATAGTAATTCATCCCCATATAGTAATTCATCCCCCATACTAATTCATTCACTTACCTTTGCTCCGCGCGTTCCTCTTGCCGTGTTCCCGCGCCGTTCCGGTCTTTAGGGCGGACTGTGAGAGGAGCCTAGCTCCCCTCACGTTCGTCATGCTGCCCCGCCTACACACATCCTGACAGCCATCCTGACAGTATCACGCTCCACGGGCCGGATTAAAAGGTCCGCCGGGCCGTAGTTTGCCCATTGCTGGCCTAGACAGTGTCTAAGATGAGGCCTAACTATTCTAGACAAGGGGAAGGCTTGAGAGCAGACTTTTTTTGAAGGTTAATAATCATATGAACGTTTGCAGATAGTTTTGATAAAGATGAATCCTTCAGAAGTTTGTGTAGCTGCCCAAAGGCCTGAATGTCCAGAGTTTCTAGGAGAGTGAGTAGTGGTGCAAGCACCTTTGTAAATACTTGGGGGGCCAAGGATGGGCCAATGAAAAGGGTGGCTACCCCATTGGGTTTTGGATAAGAGTTATCCAGGGTAGTGTGCAAATTTGACTATCATTTGGCAGATTTTGGCTGGTTTAAGAGTTAAAAACAGTGAGGGGGTATAGTTTTAAATTCTATTTTGTACTCTTTTGAAACTACAGATTGAACCCACAGATCTAGAATATATGTGTGACCCAGAGGGATGCAACCTACACAGACCCCCACCCCTCTGAAGAGTGAGAGTGTCCCTCCTTTGTGAAGAGGGCTTTGGGGCAGCTTTGGCAGACTTAGCTCCTAGTCTTGCCCTGAAAGGAAGGACTGAATTTTTGCATTGAAGATAGACCATGGGGAGAGCGAAAGGGTGCTCTTAGTTTATAGGAGGTACAGTAGTAGCCCCTGAGGGGTTTCAAAATTTTCTGTTTTGGAAAAAGAGCTTTTCCTTTTGTGAACTTCTTTAGGAACTTGCCAAGTGTATCACCATATAGACTTCCTCCTGCAAAGGGCATATGGTTGAGGCGGCTTTTACTGGCAGCTTCCAATATTTTGGCTTTTAGCAAAAAGATTCTGGCTTTATGGACAGAAATGAGAGCCATTTCTGGAAATTTGTGTCATGACTTGTTCTAGGGCAGTGGTGGGCAACCTTTTTTTTTTCAACTGAGCCAAATCTCGCCAAAACCATGATTGAAATTTATTTTGAGAGCCACATTTTTAAAACTGAAAATACATCTCCCATATAGTAATTCATCCCCCATAGTAATTCATCCCCCATATAGTAATTCATCCCCCATCGTAATTCATCCCCCATAGTAATTCATCCCCCATATAGTAATTCATCCCCCATATAGTAATTCATCCCCCATATAGTAATTCATCCCCCATATAGTAATTCATCCCCCATAGTAATTC